TTAGATAATTTAGTAAAGATAACACTTTCTTTCATCTAAGATGCAGATATAGATAATACTTATTTTTATTATCTATATAAAGATAAGATAACGCTAAAATTTTATCTAGATAATCATCTATATAATTTTATTTAGATAACAGCAAACACTGGAAATAACAGAGTATTACGGTAACAATTGTATCGTCAGAGTGTTCTCCACAGTGTTAAATCAATTTAAAGACAAAAATTTTGAATATTCTTTTAGTGATATTGAAAAATTAATTTATTATTCTAAAAACCATATTGGAATAAAGGAAGATTATATTGAAAAATAAAGACGATTGTTCCATTTTATCCCTTTCTGTCCTATACTTGTGTCTTTAAATTGGAAAATTTTCGATCTTACTACGCTAATAAAAATGTAGCCTCGAAAGAAGATAGAATTGTCATTTGTAAATAATTTGTGACGAATCGAAATCTTTCTAATCGATAGAGAGAGAGAGAGAGAGAGAGAGAGAGAGAGAGAGAGAGAGAGAGAGAGAGAGAGAGAGAGAGAGAATTGCAAACGTTAATATTAGAACCGCGATAAAAGCGGGATTTTCCTTGTTGTTTAAAACACTGGAATCTTGATCTCAATCACGCAGGGCAGACTGAAAGGCAGGGAGCCCAGTCAGATCGCTGGAAAATTTAATGCGAGGACGGATCAACGGGCCAGTCGAACGTTAACGGCACGCTGGATCCTGGACCTCGGATGCTGCGTCCAAAAATAAGATTTCTCTGCTGAATTGATGATCAGAAATAGTCGGCGTTCGGAATGGATGTCGCTGACAGAATCGTCCGCACCGGCTTGTTGGTCAGCAATTATTATTGGCACTCACCCTCATCTATCAACCCCGTGACATTATCGACAATCGCTTTGCAAGCATAGATATTGCATTGAACGAGCTTCGCAATGACTCAACTCCAATGCACATGAAGTTTCATTAAACTGGATCTTATACATATTAGATTATGGAGATCGTCTATTTAAGTTTTCAACACTAAATGAAACTAGTAATCTGAAATTTTTTTAAGAAAGAAATGGAAAAAATTCTTGCTCTCGATAAAAGCAACGTATTGAAACTATTGGAAATTATTCTGGTCAATATGCAATCACTTCACTTACAATTCTTTTTAGTAGATACAATCAATTTTTGGTATTAATATAACAATGCGTGTAACGTTAAAATTAACGACTCCTTTTATCAATATCTACCATAATAGAGCACAAATCAGATCTTAGAATCTACATCAATATCGTAAATAATTAACTAAACAAAAATTATTACAGTATGACGATAATAAAAATCTTATAAATTACGCAACAACAGTCATCCGTGACGATCGCATACGCAAGCAAACAGCCACCCACGCGAGTCGCAAAACACAGGACATTCCAAGACCCTCAATCATAATTTTAATAATATACATTCTTCTACATTATTTAATTAATAATATAAACGAAATTTTAACTTTCAGTTTTTTACAAATCGAGAATTATTGCAACTATGTTTCAACGCTGTAAAGATACATTTACCATAAAACTGCCCAATTTGGAAATAGCAAAATTATGATTGAATATCTCTCGAGATACATGTAACACAAATTACCGGCAAACGCAGGGAATTCTTGCTACGACCCAACTGACGATCTCTATGACTGATCGGTCTCATCAATTGAAATGAAATTCTATTCTAAAAATCACACTTTCGCTCGTTTCTTCTTTCGTTGTGGATTCACTGCAAATCTCACGGTCGAAAACCCGATCGCGAGCGAGGAACTTGATCGATATTAATAATCGTAAAGTCGGGGTAGCAACGAAATACAGAGAGAGAAAGGAAAAGAAAGGAAGAGAGGACAATTTCTATGCCGGATCTCGCGACGCGAACCAGAGAGAGACTGGTCCCGGCGCTGGATCATCGATCCAGGATGGGCGTCGCGACGCTCTCTCTCTCTCTCTCTCTCTCTCTCTCTCTCTCTCTCTCTCTCGCGGCCCGCATTTATATTTAACTTTGGCATCACTCGACATTCGACTTAGCAGCGTCGCTCGTCCTTTACTCCTCGCCCTCCAACGACGTTGCCCTCGTTCTCACCTCGCGTCTCATCCCGTTCTCTTCTCTTCTTTCGCAGCAGGGCTCGCTTCTTTTTTTTTTTCGTTCCGCCCCGCATCGTAGACGCGGGTGTGAGGTGCCGGTGCCACGCTATTATCACCGATGAGCCAACGGCCGTCGCTCATCGATAATTTTGGTCACTCATTACGAAAATGCGTCCAACGACGCGCGACTGAATAACGATTCATCACGATACGCGAGGAAATGATTTTGCAGGACCACGATCCGATCCATCTCTCTTCGTCGAAATACAACAGAGGTATGCTAGATTCTAAGACGTGTCATTTTCATTTGCGCATCGAGAAACGTTACGTGGAAAATGTGGGAAAAATGCTGATAATCACGATGTTTGTAACTGATTATTTTTTAGTAATGTTTCGGATTTTTACATATATAAAAGAATAGTGCTGTAATTTCAGTCTTGGCCCAATTCTATCATCCCGGTATTTCACCAGTATTGCACCAGCATTGGCATCTAGTACAGTGCCAATACTCAGTACTCGAAATCGGTACTGGACCATTATTTTGCCGACACCCATTTCCCGCATGGGTTTAATGCCAAAACTTGAACCCTTTCGTTTTGGTAGTCTGGTGGAGATATGGTTCATCTCCGACAGGTCTTCCATCATTTTCAACTTTTCCAGGCATACATTTGAATACTTTATTCAGGCATATCAAATTACGACAGCATTCTTCGGTGAATTCACACTATAATCATAACGATTCGTTACATATCTTCCGTTATATAAGTGCATATATTAATTGCAATATTAAAATTATAATTGGCTAAAGAAATTAATTATTATTTTCTATATTATTATAATTACTTCGTCGAAGTATGAAGCGCATACAGCCGTAGAATTAGGAGCAGCCGTTACGTTGTTGATAACAACGATTAAAGCAAATGCTAACAATTTCATTGTAATAGAGAAATATGCTGCAAATATTTAGGAAAATTTTTCGTCAGACACTTATGACTTAAAGAAACTCACTAAATTATAATTATATGACGGACTCTCGTCAATTTATAAAACAATTATTTGAGAAATCGAAGCTGATAACGATTGATAAACTCTAATCATCGGTATATTTATTTCTTCTCTGTAGATATCTTGGAAAAGATATACATCTGGTAGTTTACTTAATCTTCTTAAACTTATTATCTGCGTAAAAACATTTCGCGAGTGTGAAAAGTTTTTATTGAAATTTGTTTAAAGCAAATCAATTATCTTTTAAAGATTTCTTTCTCGGTTTCTAAATACAAAAATGGGGGAAAAATAATTCAAAACGATGGGTTCAACGTAGCAAATGCAAAGAACATATTTAAAAATTCTAATTATTGCCTCCGTTATAAAAGGTTTTCAAAATTGCAAAATATAAATATAATTTTTCAAATAGGATGAATAGGAGGAGAAAAATTTAATATTAATAATAATTATAATTAATAATAAATATTGATAATTATTAATAAAATCTAAAAGCTTTCGATGTAATTTATACCGCAAATACCATCATTATGTTTCTCTATTATTATGGGCTGCAACGGATATAAGTTTTATTTATATCTTATAGTCTAATAATGTAAAAAATGTATATTATCAGAGTCATGCGTTAGTTATTGTCACGCGAAAATAACGCACCATGTTGAGCCTTTCATGGCTATACGACTGATATTTTACACTCCATAATTTTTTTAAGTTTAAACCTTTTTCTTCCATACCGTGACAGCAAGAAAAATTGAGGTAGATTTTGCAGGGCGATGATCCGATCTATCTTTCTTCGTCGAAATATAATAGCAGTATGCTAGATTTCCAGCCAGAAATGAATCGTCGATCGACAGCGAAACGATGTGTCGACATCGAAACCGTCATATTGACGTCGATTCGACATCGTTTCGACGTCGATCGACGAGTAATTTCTGACTGACTAATTGTAGACGTGTCATTTTCATTTACGCATCGAGAAACGTTATGTGGAAAATGTGGGAGAAATGCTGATAACCACAATGTTTGTAACTGATTATTTTTTAGTGATATTTTTTATTTATATATATATAAAAGTTTATAGAGAAAAGGTGGACAAAACAAGATTCCTTGGAGAGGCTCACTTATCCCATTCTACATCCGACTACCCTGTTTTACCCAAACTTCTCCTATTTATATATTTGTGTGTCAATTCTTTACTGATCTAATCAGTGAAACATTACAACTAACAAAACTGCAGAATGTAATGGTAGTAAACATATAATTTGGGTAATGGAACAAATCGTTTAATAAATCACTCCATAGAAAGCAAAAAACAGCATTAATATAAAGGAAAATCCTCTATTATAAGATAGGATTCTAATATGAGATAACGGGTTTTTAACGTCCAAATTCAACCACAAATCTTTTTTCGCAACACGTACACGATCTAACAATCGATTTTTCCCTAAACAGATTTCACTCGAAGAGTAATAAATTCATCCTGAAACAGATGATGCTATTAATTGAGCACAAACTCGCTATCTCATAATAGGAGACTTTCCTCTACATATACATATACTTCATTTAATTCTTTATAAAATAAAAGTGATATCGTGTAATCGTTTAGAGTGTATCATATATTCTTATTTCCACTTTTCCAGTATTGTTAGTGTCAAAACTGAAACTCCTTCGTTTTAATGTTTTGGTGGATATGGTCCATCTCCGATAGGTCTCTTATCATTCGTAACTTTTCCAGGAATACATTTGTATGAATAACTCAGGCATACCAAATCACGACAGCATTGTCCGGTAAGTTGACACTATAATCATAACGATTCGTTATATAATATCTTCCGCTATAAATACATATATTAATTGCAAAATTAAAACTATAATTAGCTTATTATATGATTAAGCAGTTAATCGACCATGACTGGCGATGTGTTTTTAACACAGAAGATTTATTGCGAAAAATAATAACCTCAGCCAGGCATGTTTAATCATTTGCTGGCGTCAAATAATTCTTGATGTAGCTTATTATACTTACATATCCGAGGTATGGAGAGCATACAGCCTCAGAATTAGGAGCAGCCGTTATGTCGTTGATAGCAGCCACAATAATTAAAGCGAATACCAACAATTTCATTGTAATAGAGAAATATGCTGCAAATATTTAGGAGAAAATTTTCGTAAGACACTTATGACAGAAACTCACTGAATTACAAGTATATGACCAACTCTCGTCAATTTATAAAACAATTATCACAATCTTATTTGAGAAATCAAAGCTGATAACGATTGATAAACTCTAATCGTCGGTATATTTATTTTTTCTCGGTAGATATCTTGGAAAAGATATACATCTGATAGTTTACTTAATCTTCTTAAACTTATTATCTGCGCAAAAACATTTTGCGAGTATGAAAAGTTTTTATTGCAATTTGTTTAAAGCAAATCAAAGATTTCTTTCTCGGTTTCTAAATACAAAAATGGGGAAAAAATAATTCAAAACGATGGGTCCCACGTAGCAAATGCAAAGAATATAGGTATTAAAAAATTCTAATTAAGATCTCTGTTATAAAACGTTTACAAGACTGCAAAATATAAATATAATTTTTAAAATAGGATGAATGGAAGGAGAAAAATTTAATATTAGTAATAATTGTAATTAATAATAAATATTGGTAATCATTAATAAAATCCAAAAGTTTTCGATGTAATTTATACCGCAAATACCATCATTATGTTTCTCTATTATTATGGGATGTAACGGATACAAGTTTTATTTATATCTTATATTCTAATAATATAACAAATGTATATTATCAGTCATACGTTAGTTATTGTCACGTGAAAATAACGCACAAAGATAACGCAGCATGTCAAGCCGTTCATGGCTATACAAATAATTTTTTACATTTCATAATTCTTTTAAGTTTAAGCCTTTTTCTTCAAAATGAGTCTTCAAATATTGAACTATTAGGTCAAATTCTGTTTGACCCAATAGTTCAATATTCACCAAAAATATCATTTTGTAAAAATATATTGAGATATTCCAGTGACATAAAGAATTTAAAAAGAAGCTAAAAATAAAATACTTACTAGTTTTGTTGAAAGAAGAAACGTCGTGCAATGACTTCTATTGACATCCTGGATCGTAACGAGAGTATATATACAATTTCCTTCTTTTATCTGATCTCATTAACGTAAAATTTATGTCGCATAACATGTCGATATTGTCAATTTATTTTACGCTTCGATACGTTCCAGTTGATAAATGCGAACTTATGCATACATTTGTTATACCGTAACAGCAAGTAAAATTGAGGCAGTATATTTTTTCAAGATAAAAATGTAAGGCGTACAAAAGTGTTGCTTAAAAATAATTAAAAAATTGTCTACAGGAAATATTTTATAATCCTTGATCGCTTTTCATATGCTTTCTACATTTAGGAGTTTACATCAATCCAGCAGTTATTGTATTATATTTTAAAAAAAATTGAAAATAATCCAAACGTTATAGAAGCGCAGAAGATAGCTTTAAAAGCCGTCGAATAGATCAAACGTGTTTTAAGTATCCTGTTTTCACGTTTACTTTTATTTTTTAGATAAAGGTTGGATATAATCGTTAAATAATTATATACAAGATTTATGTAACTGATATTTTTGTCGACATTTACAGAAATTAAGCCATTGATATAACAGTTATTACAATGTACAAATTGTTATAGGTTGCTACAAACTTCAATATATTTTTCCACATATGCGTTCATTTCATAAATTTTTAAGAAAGAAGATGTAAAAGATTTCTTAATATTATTGATTCGGTAATATCGTGTTACAAAGCTCGTCGCTCGAGGACAATGCGTTTTTTAATAGCAAATGGATTAGCAAAAAGACCTATGATCACATTCGTGATTGTGTCCATTTTGTACATAATTCCGCTTTCATAAAAAAGAAAATAAAAATAAACATCCGCCGTATCAAGTCATTTTGTACAGTGACATATAAATGTATTTGTGGGAAAAAAAAAGCTTAACTACTACATATACTCTCATTGCCAATTATCAGATTTCGAGTTAATAATTGATAAAGACATGTCTCTGCAAAAGACGACTCTGTAAAAAGATATGTCTCTGTAAAAGGCGACAAATTCTAAATACTCTTCTAATCTGCAAAACTTTATTCCATCAAAAACAGATATAGAGAACAAAAAGTTCCGCGAATCTTTGGCATTTAGTATTAGGCTCTAATAACTTAGGTCGATTGTAAAAAATTTACCTTGTAATAAAGAGATATGTCGTAATTTTCTCTTTATGCATACATATCAATTGGACATGTGAATTTACAAAACGTCCATGACTGGTCTTAAATTTTTCAGACAAATCTCTATTAATTGCAAAAGTGACGTTAATCACAATCCTCTCGAATTACACTCTCTGCTACGAAACGAACAGAAAGGATGTTTCGAATGGCAACGATGCCATTCGCATGTTCACATACGCAGCTGACGGTCTATATGTGCAATTCAAGAAGTGTGATAAATGCACAGGTGCGGATAATTAGCAGACATCCGTATGCACTTTGATGCCGAAGTGAATGTAATTCTAGTGAATGTAATAAAATTCGTAATTATTGCGATAATAATTAGGTAGGAACTACTAAGATGCATTTAGAACTAGATGAAATTTTTAATTGACGGAATAAATTTATTGTTAAACTATCGAATCCAGTGCGTTATATAATAAAATCGATTCTAGAATATCGATTTTAATAAAAACGATCTCGTAGCTTAAATAACATACTATCACTGAAGCGCGTAATTAATTTTTCCAAGCATTGCAACTTCCATTACATATTACGGTCAGCACAGCGTATCGTGATAGAACGACATATATATTTATAAATATACTATAACAGAACATTATACAAAACAACAAGCGTTTCTCGGCAGCGGCCGCTATTGACTCGATTTCTCTCTTGTAATGTGTATATACTAATAACAATATATATATATAACATAAGTTAACGTCATTTTAAATATAGCTAATTAACTACTAACGATTATCTTACATTGCCATATCCGTCTTCTCATTCGTGAATATGATAATAAAAAATTGGCTAGTTTGGTAGATAGAAAGGTACGAATATTCATTGTACATCGTTCATCGATTGACTTTCTTGTGCGCTTTCGTTTTCCACCTGCGTAAAATGAGGTAGTTCAGCCTTTGTAGCCAACTCCAATGTGTGCATCCACCTAAAAGTCCCATAAATATCTAGTATTAGTATCGTTTATTCGTTTAGACAAGAGATATAAATTGTTCAAACAATTTTTATACCCACTTCTCTTTGTCCTCTTGAGAAGACGCTTGGAGATAGTAATATTTTCTCGAATGATGCATTTTAAATGCCCTTATCCGATCCTTCGTGTTCAAGGGGTCTTCGTCGGGTAATTTTGTACCTTCCGTAACCATAAAGCCTGGCATGGGCGTCGCTGTCATGGCCATGCTTTCCGACTCCGATTTGAATGAGTATAGAACGAAGTCAACGTGCAACGCAAACCATCGTTTTGTCCAAGGCTTACTGGCCTGCGTCTTTAGTAACAGGTATCCGGTTAATACTGATGGCGCGCTTGCCGATACCTGTAACAAACTTGGCACTGGTCCAGACGGTGACGACGGTGATTTAGTGAGCGGTTGAGTGAGCGCGGCATGGCATAATCTGCACACTCTCATATTCTTATTGTCTTCAAATAATAATTTCTGATTTGAGCATTTACTACAAACCACCTGGGAAAGGTAATGATCGAGATGAATGTTGAGTAATTATTATTGTCAAATAAGTTGCAACGACAGATTTAACTTTATAGTGTACAATACTCACTATTCCACAAGCCCGGCAATTGTGCTTTCGTTTCATCACAGAAAAAATAACTTCGCAAACCATGCACCTAGTTACATCATCAGCCTTAACCAAAGAAGATTTAACACTTCCAGTTTTCAGACTGGCCTTGCGTCTCATGATTTCTTGCATCGTTTGAAACAACGCGTCCAGCCATACAGCCTTCTCCGCAGCAGCGTGTGTATACAACTCGACGCTTTTATTTTCGTCCCTTATGTAAAAAGTATTTGCGGTTTCTAGATTGTCTCCTTCAACTACTTGTAAATTTTCCACCATAAATTTAGCCCTTAGTCGGTACATAGGACCGGGTATCAGTCTTATTGAGCAGAGTAATAATAAATCGCTAAACTGGAATCGGATAAACAGTTTTCTAATTGAATGTCCATGCATTTTATAAATATTAATAGTATATAAGATCATTAATAATTACCAGAAACAAATGCCTCTCCTGGTGATCGCCACTACGCGCTGAGATTTTCACTATACGCCCTTCCTTTATTAGTTCGCGGGTCGCACTGACTAGATCAGTCGCATCATATATACTCTCTTGGATTTCTAAAAGTTTCTTAAACTTATCGATCTTTTTCATTGCCTCGTTTGTATGATTTGCGGCGGTTGACACCAACTCCAGAGCCTCTGTAATGTAAATGTTTCTCAGTAAATAATTACAATGCATTAAAATACAAGACACGCGGCAATATTTTAGGAAACATAAGAAATAGTATAAATACTTTTCGTGTCTTCGTAGTCTGGATTGTCCTCGGTGAGATTTCGCAGATAATCCTTGAGAAGTAACTCGTATCGCGGCAACCTCTGTATGGGACTCAACATGTGATGTGCTAATGACAATTTAGCACATTCGTCGAGCTTCTGAATTTCGTTGACAATCGCTGCAAATCTGGGCACCTTGCTTTGCAAGGTGCTTATCAGATTCATGGCGTAATCAAAATTCTTTACATACTCTGTATACATTTTGAGGAACGGTGCAAAGTTCTTCATTATGTCGCCGATTCGCGGATTCGAATCCCAACATTGCATTCTCTCCTCGAATTGCGGTAGTAGAAAGTCGTTGTGGAATTTATAAATAGATTTGATATTTGAAAACATATGCTGGACAGTTTCTGGAGGGAACATCGGATGCGCTCTGTTTTCCTGATCGACCCTGAATTGGAACACCTGGTCGATCAGATGCAGAATGTTGACATAATTTTTCTCAGTCGCTAGTAGCTCTTGGGCTACGCGCAACGCCTTCTTTCGCTTCGAATCGGGGGAACCCTTCTTCGCGAGCAGTTTCGGCTCCGATAACGACTCTTCCGTATGATCAGCCACTATGGCGGAGTCTGTCTCCGAAGATCTAGTTTCCTCCGACTCCTCCTCGCTCTCGGATTCGCTCACCGCGTAGGTATCTAATGTATACTGATGGGACCTCCTCTCCGAAGCTACGTACCTGCGTTTGTTTTTAAAGATACAAGCTTAAAAAATATTTCAAAACAAAGACACGTAAACTACATTGCTCGTTTTCATGAGATCTCCACACACCTGCTACTTCTATACTCTAGGACACTATGCGACATTTTAATATAGGACGTTTCCGTTGAAGTCTCCTCGTGCCTCGTGATATCGATGCATTCAGCGGGCGTGGAAGCGGACATGACGAACGGCTGAAATCGCGGGAAGCCACCGAAACTGGCGATCCTGTGGAAGGAATGTCTGACGTATCGTTGCTCCTCGACACCTGTTGCCGCGTCCGAATCTTGCGAGTTGCCATTTTCGCTGGTCGTGCTCTGCTGCTCCGGCAAACGTGGCGCTTTGGAATGTTCGTCCTCCTCCTGCCGAAACTCGGGCTTGTCCTCCGTGATCTCCAGATCCGTGTAAAACGTACTGGTAGGCGAGCTGTTTTTCGAGCCGAACATCTTGAATCCCTCGGCCATCCGACTGCTACCGTCTCCTGGCTCCGGGAACAGACGCGTCATCCAGGATGAGATGTCTCTCAGCTGACTTCGTTGCATCCTACGGACAATTCACATTGCTAATTGCTAGACAATTATCGCGTATCTCGCGACAATTGGGGCACAGAGACAATTGGGGCCGCGAACGGAAGAAGCAGTGCAGCGGCGAGAACATATGGCGCGCTCGTGTACAAACTGCTCCTATGCGCCTTTACAAATTAAATCAATATCGGTTTGGATTGCGTTTCCGTGCTCTCGTAATAGTTTACATTACACGCCCTTCGAATAAATCACAAACTGTCGCAAATCACTACCGACACTCTGACGCTCACGGCTTCGTGCCCGACTTTTGTTGACAGTAAATATAAAGGAACGTTGTTCGCGCGCGTATTACTCCTATCGCAATGCTGACTCATTAATCTACTCGACACAAAGCTGAAATCATTTTTCTTTACGACGATAAATCACGTCGTTGATCCATGCTCGTATCGTCCGTATCGCCGAGCCGGTTCTCGCCTCCAATTTCGCCGCCGCTTTTCCGGCGCGCAAACGCATATTTTCGTCGTCGACGCGGTGCTTCCGAAATCACGAGTGCGCGATAGATCTCTCAGGGGGGAGGCTATTTAAAAACGCATCCTCCTCTCAGATCGATCCATTACGCTAAAATTAACGTGCCGGTCCGTTCCAGCGTGCCGGCGAGAACGCTTGCGTCGGCGTCGCTAATTGACACTCGGCGTGATTTGAGTAGAGCGAACGAACGAACGAACGAACGAACGAACGAACGGGCGATGGAATGAATAAAATACACGTGCCTGCAAGCGCGTCCGCGAACGCGCGATTTTACACCTAACGTGCTCGCGTAGCTTCGCTTCGAAAATGCGAGAGCGGTCTTGACTTTTCACGGTACAATTTTCTTCAATTAATTATTAATCCTTTCGCGGTCGACGCGCAAGCTCGTAAATGCGAGCGACATTCACAGTCGTGCATCGCGTCTCTTACAACGGCCGACAAACTTTCGGGAGTCACGTCCGCGGCAGCGAGTTTCCAGCTCAATTTGTCGGCGGATATCGTTGACGACGACGTGCCTAGACTCGCCGTTTTCCCGAGGCTACAGCTGCGGCGTAAATACAGACGACTATTATTATCTCATATCAACGCATCAGCGTCGTCAGACCACCGGAATGAATGCACGACTTATCCTCCAACGATTAATAGGCCGGGATTCACTTGAATACGATCTCGAACGCGGCTTTCCACTTTGCACTTTGCGTCCTGTTTCCAGTCATGGCTAGAGCGAAGTGGCGACTTATCTAAATTTATTTATAACAGCGTAGGAGCCCAAGGCGCAAAATCGTCCCCGTGGAACGGGGAACATCGTCTCGAGGAACGTCGGACTGGTCGTATTATTTATCCAGCGAGAATATCCACTTTCGTCCATTCCTGCCTCGGAACATTCGGAAACAAAGTCTCTTGAGAATAAATTAAGAAAATTAATCCATAAATTCGAGATCGATTGGATGTCTAAAATGAATCCCATAAATCTTAGATTCTCTTATCTTACGTTCATTCATTTTCACGATTACGCAATAATTGATGCGTCTGAACCGACAGACCAGACTTAACAATTTTTAGCAGACAGATACATTTATAGAAAGGGAAACAAACGAGCAAGCTGAGAGAACGTTTGAAAATGTCAGATAGATTTTTCCCATTGAGATTTCAGCTCCACTTCGCCCTTTCTACATTTTAGACAACGTTGCATTTCGAATACAACAAATAGCCAAGAATTTGCTTCTTGAATTTTTGTGAAAAACTAAAAAAAAGAAGCAGCACCCTCTAAAAGTGTAAACTGTCTATTTATATCTAGTGACCGGTTAACGCGGAAGCAGCGGACAGGTCAGGCGGCAAATTGCTCGTCTACTTCAAGACTCAAGAATGAACGTGAGTCAAGTCAAGGCGCAATTTGTTGCTCGATTAATTGCGCGGCGTAAGACGCTCCGGCTCCGAAAGTATCGAATGCCGCCGGAGTTGGTGCGAGGGGGAGGGGGAGGGTAAAGGGCGGCAGGTGTACAGCACAGTCTCGTCGTAAGGTGCTACGCCCTTCGCCTTCCATCCTGTCGAGCGGCGCGGATCTATCTTCGCGACTGCACCTCTCCAAAACGCTGCCTCCGTCGATGCCGCCGCAGCGAGGAGGAGCGGAAGAGAAGCGCGAGGCGCGAAGCCGCGAGGAACGAGGAGCATAAACAGAGGGAGAAAGAGAGAGAGAGAGAGAGAGAGACATACAGAGAGATCGCGTCAAGTGGCATGATTACCTCCCGTCTCGGGATCGTTGGTAGTGTAGCGGGACAGCAACAGGCGCACGCGGGTCCGCGCGGGCATAATGATCGTTTAGGCGAGGCGAGGCGAGGCGATGAGACGTGAGACCGATCTTTCTCTTAGGCTCGAGGCTCGACGGAATCGCCGGCGTCCATGGCCGGCGCGGCGCGGCGCGGCGAACGGTAGATCGGCGTATCACAGCTATTGCATCGCGGCAGGCAGTCAGGCACACCGTACGCACGTCGCGCCGTCGTGACGTCTCGCGACGCGAGGTCGACGAAAATGCGCCCGGACGATCGCGAGCGCGTGACACCCGATCGGAGGCCGACGAGCAGCGACGGGAACGCCGGGGACGTTCCTCCCGCTCAAAATTACGCGATGCACTTGCCGTACTCGCCGAGACGCTCGATGCGCGCCCACCTCGAAGCGGTACCAGTGATCAAGGTACTGCGATTTACACAGGTCCGTCCGCCGGACGCGCGTCGATACTCGGCCCGCTCGGCTGCGGTTTGCGGACGGCGCCAGCGGCGTTGCGTCGCGACTAAAATGACCTTCTCGCGCTTGCCATGGGTCGGTAAGTGAGGGATCGCGTTAACCCTCCGATGGTAATTATCACCCGAAGGTAATAGAATCCCTGATGGAAAAATTTTGCTGAAAATGTAATGAAATTGATGAAAAGTGAAATGAAAGTTATTGGAAACTTGTTGAAACCATTTCAAAATAAATCATAAGTTTCGTTATGAAATTCAATGAAATACTGTGAAATTAGATGAAAGTTAATTAATATTACTAAAAATTAATGAAAAAATGTTATGATTGTGAGCCATGCATTTTAATGTAAAACAAGAGTAATATCAAATATCCTGCTCTTTATTTTTACTCCGTTTTTCTCCCGCTTGCAATAATTAAAGCCTATAAAGTACAATTTCATTATTCACATTCTGCAATCGCGCTTAGTATATGTATGTATGTGCAAAAATAATTTGCATTGAATGAAGCAGTATCTCTCGGCATTGAAAGAAACGCATCGAGTTACAGGGACGCGCTCATATTTGTGACTATGAAAGTGCAAAATTGTAATGATAATAATATTAAGACACCGCTTGTTTCTACCGTGCATAAAAGCTATCGCAAATTTCACCAATGAATTGTAACGTACACAATAGTCGCACGAGAGATAAGTACTACGTTCAATAATACAGATAATATTGCTGCAAAACTCTTACAACACAAATATACGTAGTATGTATCGGATTAGGGGTGAAAACTTAAAGTAGCACAGACGAGATGTTTAACAATGTGTATGTACATATGTGTAATGAAATCTAAAGATACTAATAACACAGTCTAGGCGACATCAGTACAGCAATTGATTATCTTATTTCGATCCCTTTCTAATATTTATACAGTGTCCTCTAAATTCTTTTGTACCCTTTGCCACTTTGCCACCATGCTCGACACCTCCTTGTGTTTTTTGCTATTGCTGATCCTTGCCTAGAATTACATCAAGAACCAGTTAATATTTCATTAATCGAAAAAAAGTTTGCTATTTTAAAACAGACAGTAAGAAGCAACGGTCTATTTCGTTGCAAATTGGAGTATTATTTTCAGAATTGGAACGCGTAAAATTCGCTTCTTATATCAATATTATGTTTTATTACTTATATTGTTTTTATGTGAAAAGAAAAATGATACGATGACGAGTAAAAGTACCACCTTCTTTTTCTTCCGTTCCTTCGTCGTTGTATCATTGGGCACAGTTTCCGCTTCTGCTTCCGGCTTCGCTTCTTCGGTCGGGACAGACACTTGCTCTATTACCGTGGCAGTGACATCCTGATGTCCTGTCCGTTCCGTTTCCGTTTTTTCAATACGCGCGATGTCGCTGTAAAAGGAATCGAGGGCAGATCCCAAAGACTCCTTCGAAGCCTTAACTGGCGGCTTGGCGATGATTTTGTTATTCGTATAAATCGGTGCATATCCCACCATAAACTGAATCGCACTTTGTCCACCGTGCTTGTTCGCAACTGCGATTGTCTGCTAACAAATACAGATATAAATTACATGCTCTTGCATAAAGCGTGGATCTCACATGAGTGCAAACTTTTTGAAATTACACACATTCTATAAGTATTTTTATTCTATTTATATTACGTTTGCTACGTTTCCATTGTATAAGAAAATATATTCAATATACATTTATTACTGTCTTTTCCTCAAATATATTTACACTTATATTTGACGCGCGTGAAATGTAGTACCGTGTCTCTTAATATACTTAATATCGCTGAAACACAGAAGTGTACTTACGTTATGCAAATGTTGATGAAAGGTTGGATAATGAACAAATGGTTCCTGCAGCAGACCCGCTTGATGGCTTAGGATAGGTATCGTTGGATCGGCAATTGAAGGCGCGTAAATCGCATTACTTGGCTGCGACGCCGCATTATATATTAACCCTTTCAGAGTGGCAGCTTCGTAAGACGTGTCCGGTAAGTCCACACCAGGCGGTAGAGGCTCCATATTTGCATGATTCGCAGGTAACGAAGTTTGAGACGACACAGCCACTTGTGGGTGCGCATAAGATAACGATTCTAAAGCAGGATTCACCAGTTGCGTGTCCAGCGCCATTATTCTGTCTGTGAACAAAATACACATCTTCCTTTATGTATTTTACCTACAATATTTACAGCATTAATATTTACTACATAGTAATAATTTAATACAAACGGCAAATGACATCCGTTATAACATGCCAAATACAGTAATACAGTAATGTAAATGATAATAAAATTATAAACTCTATATTATGCTGCTAACAATTTACTACCTTTCTCCAAACGCTTCCTCTTCGCGTCCATGAATTTATCGTCGGGCCTCTCCCTTTTCTTCTTGTCCTTCTTCAGATCTTCCGCGAATATTCTCGGAGGTGGTGGTGGACTTGGATTAGATATCTGTGGCGGAGGTGGCGCTTCCAAAGTTCCGGGATGTCTATCTGCTACGTTTTCGTCATCCGTCTTATTATCATCCATCTCCTCAGCTTGCTTCTCCTTAATTTTTTTTGCCCCAGGTGACCCTAACAGAGCCCGATAGTTCATGTATTTTCTATTGATGACATACTGTCGTAGAGAATACCCGTGTATGTAAATGGCATACCTGTGACTGATAACTCTTCTGACTCTGGTGGCGGAGTAGTGCACAATTCCATCTCCTCAGTGCCACCGGCAATACCGGTGTCGGGATAAGTCCACTGTAATGTCCCAGTGGATGTATTGTGATAGTAATACCGCTTATGTGACCTAGAAAAATCCCCCAACCAAAATGGAACACATGAGACAGATCAGTGATGGTAGTGCCATTTTTCTATTATAATTCTCTATGTTACATTCAATATACACGCTTAAATAATGTTTCCGTGGTGAAACATTTGTCGCGGTGTACTCGCACCACCGGTTTCTTAAACGAAAGCCAAAATTAATAGAACATAATCTAGTAATCACTCCTACCTGCAGTGTCGTATCTCGTTTTTACTCGACGAAGGCCTTTCATTACAGGAGAGATGGGAGATGTAATTATGTAATTATCAGAGTGTGTGTTCTCTCATGAGGAACATTAATGCGAGATTACAGCAAAGTGAAGGAGAAGTGAGGTATCGTGACTGAAGTGCAGGGTAAATAATGATGAAAATTAAATCCTAATAATATCTGGTTTATTTGCGATCAGCATGTTTCAAGGATTACCAGATATTGATAAATATAATAAATAGGATAATACTTACATTGTTAATCGTCGTTCGTTATCGAATAGATTAATGGATAAAATTATGGTACCAGATAGATTTCTTGTACACTTAGTGTGTGCGTAAAGATAATATTTCTTTTTCTTTCGCATTTTATTGAAAAAATTGAGTATATCTCTCTCTCCAACAAGATAAATGTATATATCTTATGAAACTACAATGTTCGTTTGCTTTGATAAATACCACAAAATTAATCTTTATAAAATTTACTCAGTTAATAACTTTTTAAGCCACAATAAAAAATTACGTTTTGTTTTAAATTATTATATCACTGTCAACAATAATACAAAAGATTTTGTTAAATATTTCTATAATCGTTCACCAAAGCGATCGCTTCATTGTACTAAGCGCATCGCTTTGTTATTATACTAAGCGCGAATTGATCCTGTTGCCATCAAAGAATATGAGTTGTTTCACTTTTTTGCATGACGTCTTCTTGTCTTCATTTTAATAAATGTTACTTTGACTTCACTTCTCTCATAACTATTCATAACACAAACTTATCCTTAAGCCAAGTAACGTGCTTGTTACTCGATCATCGCTTGTAGTATTTACATTAAAAATATTATATCACTCAGCACATATTAATTATCACATTGACAATATCACAAGACAAAAGGCTCGATGTGGCACCAAAAAATATATTACACTTCGGGACTGTGATTTTTACAAGATTTGCACCTTCACTTAATCTAAAAAAAACCGTTGCATATGAAATGATAAAATGTGTCAGTCGCATCATTGTTCTAAATTCAGAGAAAATGTATCTAAGGATCCAGTGTACATAATGCAACGTTGGTTATTTGTCATGAACATTACTAAATTAATATTTATGACCTACTTTAGCTTGAATAAATTTGTAGAAAAATATTAATACAAAAACAAGAAATAAAAATATACATTAGATTTAGAAATATAAATATTAGATCTTCAATATAAATGTATATATGTATATTGAATATATATTAGATCTAGGAGAATGTCAGGAATTCATGTAATATACGCCCTACAAAAATTGTCATAAATATTAAACTGCTCAACGTTTCTTGAAAAAATTAGTACTAGATCTATTAATTAACTAACTTGCACCTATACAAGTTCTTGCTAAAAATAAATAAACTCTCTCAAGGATGGATGAAATCATGTAGAAATACATGACAGTTGTATATGTATATGAAGTTGTAAATATATACATATGTGTGTATATATATGTATATAAATACATTCATTGTATAAATTAATGATACATTGAAAGCCATTGAACATAGATATGTCCCCCCATCACGAGGTATCTATATTTATATCGAAAAGTGCAAATTGGAATACCGTACCTATCCCATTGACATAGCCAACCAGCTGGTGCCGCATCTTGCTCTAATCTTTCCAATTCATGATTTGTATTAGTTAGCCATTTTTGAAAGTAACTGTCCTCTAAGCTACCTGCCGTCCATGCAGTAGATAATGTCTGTAATGAATACAATTTACATTAAGAAAATTTATATTGACGCGTTTTTCAAAAACAATATAAAACAAATAATAAAATAATATGCATAAAAATACTGACTTGCAGTTGAATTTGCATCGTTTGAACAGCAGAGACACTCTCCCTTCCTTCGGAAAGAAACTTCAACTTCTCCGTTATAATCTGAGACAAGTCATTCATTTCCTCGTTAGCCTTTTCCTCGACAACGTTCAATACTGTTTTGTGTTCTACAGATGCTTCCGAGTCGCACGATTCATCTTTTACATTGAGCTTATCTTCAGTCTTAATGCTAACGCACTGCTCCGTCTCCTTGTGTGCTTCGTCGCATTCCTTTTCACTTTCTGCACATAATTGAGTTTGCATTCCCGTATCGCCATCCTCGGCATTGCGTGAGGTAGTTTCAGCGCTTGTAAGATCGCTGCTGTTGTCATCTCGAATTGTACTTTCGTGATACGTATTGTTACTTTGCTTAACTTTATTGGATGTAACTGAAATTAACGAGAAATACTTGATACAAGTAATTTTAAGAAATAGGATGCAAATACATTTACATATAAATCACTGGAATAAAATTAGATAACATAATCGATAATACCATCAAATGCTATTCGCTTCTTTCTTTGAAAAGCTTTGCCGCACACTTGCATATCCTCCAGAAATATATTTGTCTTCGATTTATCTTCGTCCGTTTTCGAGTCCTTCTCCTCCGTTTTTTCATGATCATTCTTCGTCTCTTGCGTATCTTCGTTGTCGCTGCACTGATCGGGAACTTGTACGTTGCCAGAATTTTTCGCGGAAGCGTCGTGAGTATTTTTCAACGAGCTTGTTACGTTCGTTACGTTTACGTATTCCTCATTCTGCACAATCGGGAACAAAGGCTTTATTTCTTGCTTGGGCCTAACTTCTTCTTCTCCATCTGAATCGTCCCCATAACCAGGTACTAAGGACACGTTGAGGTCCAATTTCGGAACTATGTCATGTGTATTAACATCTTTTTTATTTTTACTCCCCGTGAGAAACTCTTTTTCACCTTGAACTACACTACTCTTGCTGTCCGATTCGATTATTTTACGCTCTTCGAGCTCTTCGGGACTTGTAGTGTTCAATACGTCAGTTGAATCAGATTTATATGAATGCAGCAAAGTTTTGGTAGACGCTTGTACTTCCGTAGGGCAGAAGGCAGGTCCGATTTCGCTACTTTTTAGATACGGGGTAGAGCTGGACTTTCCAGGCTCGGATGAAGGCGTCGATATCTTATTTTCATCCGAGGAATTATTTTCCTCCTCCGAGTCACTTCCGTCGCTACCGAAAGATGTTATCATCTCTATCCGTCTGTAAGATTACAATACGTTCTTTAAGTGTATCAAAACGCTACGATTCTATTTGAAATACAATTTCTATACTATACCCATCGTCCGAATCATCGTCCTTCGTCGGAGACTCGTTCTTAATTTCCGGTTTGCTTTCCGAATTATTTTTCTTCGCAGTTTCATTGTGTAGAAATCTGTTGCGATTTCTCGCGACCACTTCCTGTGGTATCATACCTTCAGGTATATTTGCCTGAGACTGCCGATCTGCAACCAACGCTTGTCGATAACATCCTACCTTGTTAAATATTAGAGGTAGAAAAGTTTATGAAACGACAATTACATGCGATAGACGAAAAGTCAACCCAGTGCGGCCCTTGAATGGGATGCTTTGCGCTGGATTCCACATCCGGCTGCTTTTGTAACAATTGTAGCTCTTCTGGCATGTCCCACGTTACCTCGTTAGTTTTGGTATGCCAGTAGTACGGATAACCAGTCGACTCGTCATAGCATTCTTGCCACACTGAAACGCAGACATTTAAATATTCCACAATAATAATCGTACTGCGCATTCGATTGTCTCTAGTCATTTGAGAAACTTACGTGTTTCCTGGTTCGTTTGATGCGCAGACCGCAAAACTGCCTTAGTCGTTGAACTTGGAACACTAGCGACGTTCGGAACAGGTTGCTCAGGAGCAATAAGCTGAATTTCCTACAAACACGGGTAAGCTAATTCTTTTTACACGGAAAACGCGCCGTCAGTTATTTACCTTGAGGAAATCGTTGACTTGATCATCCAATTTTTGCGTGTCTTTCTTGGAATCTTCCGTATCACTGTCAGAGTTGTATTGGCACAACATGTTGGCCAACGGATTATTGGCCTCGTTCTGCATGGATTGTACATTATTTATCGCCTTACACCTACCTACAACAGCAGAAAAAGACACACACGTAACTACACACCACGCATTAATTCTCAATGCACGTTTCAACGATCATTAATGTTAATAAGATACACGATTTGCGAACTGCAACGATCGAGAGGAACATATTCGGTTTGGCTGAAAATAAACGTGGATACTTACTTTGCGTGTACTCGCCGTGATAGCTACCCTGCGGCTTATTGAGCGTGAGGACTGGTTTTCTTTGACGTCTCTTCATAATACAGAGATCAACGATACGTGAATTGGTCGGAAAGGAGAATCCCACAGGAAAGTCGCAGCGCAGAACGCACGCGCTTGGTCAACCACGGCCTTCGCTCGCACACGCGTCTCCACGTAGAGGCATATACGTGCACATATCATTTGCGTGAAATAATTAACGACGATGAGTCTCTCTTTATCGCCGACAAAGCAACAGCCACGAAACTTTAAAAACAGTAGTATCGGATGAATCGTGACCTAACCTTAAAACGCTACTGCCCGTACATACATACACACGCTTATTGGCCAATTCGTTTCACCACGGACCATAGAATTATAAGTTCTATGCCACGGACGTAGGAAATATCTGGACGCGGAGCGTAAAGTACTCTTAATTCGCACTTTCGGATGCAGAAGCAGGGCGCAGCACCATCGTTCTTTCCCGACCATGGACCCATGATGCAAGGAGACTTGCATCATGCATGGACCTAAGAATCTCTGGACCGAGCATACGGCGAGGGGGCTGGCAAATTTGCGGTAAGGGGGG